TTTTTCAGACAATATCACCTGGAGCAACTTTTCCTCGTAGACCAAAATGAAAAATCACTTATGGCTGTCATTTAAACGGAAAAGAAATATATTGACATTAAAATTACTTTGATTCTAGTAATTTTTTAACAGATCAGTATCTTTCTGATAAGGGAAAGCAGGTTGATATGAGGCAAAATTTGGATCGGAAATATAAAATAAGACAAAATGAGTGCAGTCTGAGCTCTAATCACCTTTATAGTATAGTTTTGCATAAGTTACCTAACTTATATTCTGTAACATGTCAGCAAATATTCATCAACCAATATTCGAGTCGGAATGGTTAGTTGACAAATGATTTCTCTGTTTAAAATACACTGAGGGAATACCTTGCATTCCTTGAGTGTATCGCAGACAAAGCAACATATCTACATGTACGGCCTTGAGCTGCATGGAGGTGGGCAGATAATATGTCTCCATTTAAAGTATTTGTGGGTTAATAGAGCGTAGAATGATCTTTAGAACGATCCCATATGGAAACTGTGAGCTGCAGACTTAACTAAATGAGTTTGAGTAAAAATAAATAGCCTGAATGGCAAAAGGAAATGAGGGTCGAGTTTAAGAAGCCAAAAAACAAAGATAGACTCTGACTGGTTCCCAAGAACGTGGAGGAGTAGAAACATGGATATGAAGTCACAGTGTCACTGTAGCAGGTACTAGCTGGGCTTTTCCCATAAAAACTGATGGTTTATTTCACACTACAGTTAAAAAACGACAACAAAAAGAAATACCTTTTAACCTGAGCTCATTTTAAAGCAAAAAATTTTTTTTTCATCTATTTTCAGAAGTTTTTCTCTAACTTTTTTTTTTAACAAGAACCAGCCTAATACATATTAAGCTAAGTAACACTAAGTGGACTAATTAGGCAGTTTATTTTGTTAGCCTCCAAAATTTATTGTATTGAAAATAACAATTAAGATTGTTTGGCTGTGACTCCATCCTGGAGAGAAATATCAGCTGTGCTGCTGCCATCAACACCTTTATTTATAGATGTTGGAGATCGGCCTGTTTTTCAGTGTAGTCCTGTTTCTCTGACTGTGACTAACTGGATGTGCTCTCTTCATCGCCTTCAAGTCGATGCAATCAGCTGGTTTTCCTTAGATAGAAAACTTTGAAGCAATTTGACTGGATGATCTGGTGAACTGTCAAGTGCTTTGAGATGACCTGAGTTATGAATTGGCGCTATAAAAATAAACTGAATTCAATTTAATTGAATTTGGTGCTCTACACCGCACAGAAAAAGGGCTCCACAGTGCTAACTGCAAGAGTGGTGGTGCAGAGGGAGCCCATTTTCCCTCATAGTTTTAGTTGAAAATCTTTTGCTTCTTAAAAATTGATTCTTGAAAGTAAAAGATCAATATTATATCAGGCAGCCAAAAATCACAATATATATTGCTAAAATGATTTTTTCCCACACCTCTAGCGCACATGGTGCACTGCATGCTCTTATTCACCTGGCTACTTGGTTAGCTGATTCTCCTCTGCAGCGAGAGAACAGTGGCGAAGCTTTGTGAACCATATCACAGACTTCACACAGAGTAAGAAAATTAAAACTTTAGAGTGCTAAAGGGGCCGAACCAGTCTGAGTGACAACAGAATAGGATGAGTGAATATAATGGGAAAGATTTAAACAAGGAGGTTGCCCAGACATGCCCCAGGATACCCTATTTTTGCTACAAAGGTAAGATGCTCCATTCAAAATAACTTCCATATCTAAAACTGTCTTACCTCAGATAACATTACACCTTTAAACAAAACACCTGGGTTGTTACAGTGCCAGAATATGTTGCTTTTCTCTTCTTCTATGCATGTGCAGAACCTTAACCTGTCGCCAGAGGTGGCAAACATTTGCAAAATTCTGGAATGCTATGTTCGTTTAAGATTTATTTCCACAATCCGTGAATATCCTTTAACTTCAGTGGTGCTCCATGATATAATCACCATCATGAACTTGCATCCTATGATTTAATATTATAGTAATACACTGTAAAATTGCATTATATATTGTGTTTTAATATATTAAA